TATAAATGTAATGTGCAACAACAATTTCTATATTTCTAATGACAATTCTATAATCTCGTGGGACCGGAGATTTGGCAGACCATCTCACCGATTTTTATAAAATTAGGTACACTGATTATTCTCTATATGAGTGGAATGAAAAATTCAAAATATATTTTTTTTCTGATCAATAGTTTTTTTTTATTAATTTTCAAAAATCGAAAAATTGACTAATTTTGATCCAACACAACTTTACAAAAATTAGAATATCTTTAGGACCACTTATCGTATATCGATGAGATATAGCTCGTTCTAAAGGTAATACTAACATAAACAGTAAAAAAAACCCTTCGGGTCCGTCAAACAGGGTTATAATTAAAAATAAATATTTACCACATGGAGTGAAAATCTCTTCGGACCAACTTTCTTTCACAATCAAACAAATAAATTTAATATAACACAATGTAAGCGAAAATCCCGTTGGACCCGTAGAAGAGGACGAAATTAACCCTTAAAAACCCCAAAAAATAATTATCCTATGAAGCCGATCAAATTCATACTTGCTTTTACGTTCAAAAAATCATAAATACATTCATTAAAGTACATTATAAACTAAAATCCCTTCAGACTAGTTAAACAGGGTGAAATTACCCCTTTAACTTCAAAATAAATAATTACCCAATGAAGACGAAAAGATTCCAACACATAAAAAATCATAAATACCCTCACTCAAGTATCCTGTAAACTTAAATCCCTTAAAACCCGTTAAACAGGGTGAAATTAACCCTTAAATTTCAAAATAAATAATTACTTAATGAAGACGATCAGATCCCAACTTGATTTTACATTAAAAAAAGCATAAATACACTCATCAAAGAACACCGTAAGCGAAAATCTCTTCCGACCCGTCAAACAGGGTAAAATTAACCCTTAAACTTTAAAATAAATAATTACTCTATGAAGACGATTAAATGCCAACTTTATTTTAAATTTAAAAAATCATAAATACCCTGTATTTTATAGTTATAGTTTTGAATTTAAATTTATTTACTTCATCAGGAAGTACATTTTGTATAGCCAGTGGCCCTTCCGCATCGCGGGCCCTGCGGTGCCTTCAGGTACGCCACTGGACTGATTTCATATAACCGTTTTCCATATTTTTAGAAATATGTGTAACTCTGTCCAAATTTATATTTTTTGACATCTCCCGTATATGGTAAAAAAATTGAAATTTACTACTTGGGGTGGTAAGAATACCACCTATAGAAATATAACGGAAAAGTACATTGGATTGTTTTACTGTTAAGTTTCAGAAATATTAATTTTAAAACAAGTGCATGAAATGGCTAAAACGGACCTGCAAATGCACTTTATGCGCAATCTCACTGCAGTACTCTGACGTAATGCGCGCGCTCGATTCAATTTGGCTAAGATTGTTTCATTTTAAATATTATTACAGATTGTTTTAGATATGCATTGATAAAAAAGTATTTAAAAATAATAATAAAGAAGAAACAAAATTAGACCATGTTCCCTACAAACTACTTTTATTTATCGATAAACTTTATTGGCGTAAAATCTTGATGACGTATTTGCAGTTGCTTAAAATCTGACAACAAAAAAATTATCCAGTAAGCTGTGAATTTGAAAACGAATTAGGGCCAATGAAAAAATTACTTACTTACTTAAGATAAAATGGCTGCTGAAGAACAGTGAAAGAACATTTTTTTAAGTAAAAATCATTCTGATTTGTGTTTTTAGTGTTAGAAATATGAAGAATCAGTTTAGGTAAGATGCATATTATTTAAATCTCAACATTTCGGTATGTTTAAACAACGAGGCTTTGGCTAATGTTTATATATTAGTATGTACCTACCAAAGAAGTTGTTTGGATAATCTTACCTACCCACGCCAACAAAAAATGCATTTTTAGTAAGATTTTTTGTAATATGGTTGTTAAAACTGATTTTCCTTATCAATGTTTGATAGGTAGGAAATATTCTTCCTTTTAATTTGAATAAAAAAGTATTACCAAAATTCACCTATTTTGAATCATTTTTACTCTAGATTTTATACTTTTTTTAAGATATTAAGAGCAAGATAGTGTTTAAAAATGAAAAATTTACAATTTCAACTAATGATTTTACGACATTTTAAACAAGGTGGTCCAGTTTTCTTAACAACACAACTCTCTTGCTATTAAAATCTTGTTCTGGCCGACGAATCTTTAGACAAATTAGATGATTCAAAATAATAGTAAAAAATCGTACTATATATAGATACATGGCTGCTAAAAACTTTATTATATGCTTAATACTTGTCTAAAATATTGTTTGTTACAACTTTGGCAGGTAGGTATTCAATTTTCCATTATATTTTAAAAGATTTAGATGACGCTGACAGGATTGAGCTTGAAATTGTAAAACATCATGCCTGACGTAGTGCGGTGACTATTTTCTGAGAAACCAGACCGAAATAGAGGCATGGGCGTAACATAGAACGGGAATATAAGTAAAATAAATTAAATTTTGATATTTAAATAGGCGAGCTAGCTAGCATTTTTTTATTTAATATCGATGGCTTAGCGCAAATATGTGTTAAGTAACATTTTGCAAATAATTTACAATTTAATTTTAAAGGTTTGAAGCTATAGCCTTCTATTATTTTACATGAAATGTATCTACCAAACCCTTTCAAGACTTATTTGTTATTTCTGATTACATAGTAAAGCAAAATAAGTATGTTTCACACGTTACCTACTTTTAATTAGCAATTAAAGTACAAATTTAATCATTATAGCAATTAATTACATGGATTTCGTCAGTATTTTATCAGTTTAGCATCCCTGCAATAAATTGTGTATAATCTAAAAGGCATTACCAGTAATTTGAATATATTATACAATAAAGATTTACATTGATATATGTTACAATAGAAAAATGAAAAAAAAAAAAAAATATTATATTTTAAATAGGGAGCACTCTGTATATTGGCATATTGATATATTTTGTTAAGCGAACTGAAAATGTAACCAGTTGTGAAAATAGTTTGTAATTGAACACATATGTGACAAAATATTTTTCTTCAAGTTTAGATGATGGTAATTTTTCCCACGGAACTTAAAAAAGGATGATCTTCGTGTAGAACATATGAAATTATAACAAAAATATACAATTACAGGTTTTTTGGAGTTTTATAAGTTGGAATATATCATTCGAAGGTTTTTGAAAATTAAACTATTAAATTAAATTCTTATTAAACTAATAAATTTATCAACTTTTTAGTAACATCGTTTTCTCTTCGCACACAATAAGTTTACCACGTTTTGAGTAACATCGTTGTCTCTTAGCCCACATTTGTACTTTTCTTATTACGAATCACATTTTTAACAGACTTCAAAAAAGGAGGAGGTTTTCAATTTGTCGCAATATTTTTTTTATGTATGTTCAGCGATAATTCTTTAACACGATGTCCGATTTCAATGATTATTTTTTTGTTAGAAAGGGGATACTTCAGGGGTGGTCCCATGTAAATTTGGTCAAAATATAATAATTGGGTCCATGAGAAAATCCTCAAACTCTTCATTTTTAATGTATGTTTAGTGGTAAATCTTTACCAACGTGTCCAATTTCTATAATTATTTTTTGTTAGAAAGGGGGTACTTCAGGGGTGGTCCCATATAAATTTGGTCAAAATCTAATAATTGGGTACATGAGAAAATCCTCAAACTCTTCATTTTTTATGTATGTTTAGCGATAATGCTTTACCACCTTGTCCGATTTGTATAATTATTTTTTTGTTAGTAAAGGGGTACCTTAAGGGTGGTCCCATATAAATTTGTTTAAGATGTGGTGATGGCATCTGCACGTTTTTTAAAATTTTTAATTTCTAATACTTGTTAAAAACAAAGTGTCCGGTACAGGGGCAATTTCCCATACATTCTTAAATACAGAGCTGTCTTTTTAGGTTATTTCAATAAACATCCTCCTCTTTTGACATTTTCAAAATTTCTTATTAATTGTTGTTTTTATTTTCAGGGAATATCCGAAAATAAAAATTTAAATCGTCGCAAAGAAAAATTGAAATCGCCGAAAATTTCTCGAGTTAGTCGGTAGCACAATATCAATGGTCTGAGCTTATGTTCATTTCACCTCTAACAATAAAGACGTTTGTTCTTAGAATGTATATCCTAGGGTGTACTTTCCAGGATCAAATGGACAAGGCTGCAGATATACTACCCAGAGATATATCTACATATCAAAGGGTTGCTATAGAATTGAATATGATACGATGATCATTAATGTTGTCGGGTATAGAAGATTTGTCCGGACGCGTTTTAATCGGGAAAATCAACGGGAAATAATGGATATTATGGAGAAGTGGTAAGAAATACTGGAACAGCAAATAGGATAGAGAGTGAAGGCGGAATGAGCGGCTTCAAATGGTGAGTCTTTTGATTTAAATTTAGCCTTTTCTGTTAAAAAATTATTATTACATATATCTTAATATTTTACTTAATTTATGGTTCATTTTTGTTTTTATTAACATTTTTTTTTGTTCGTTTTTTAGGTAGAGTATGCGGCTACAAATGGTGAGTCTTTTAATTTAAATTTTGCTAAGAATAGTTAATCATTATTAATCTCTATTTATACAAGGTGGGTCCCATTTTTTTTTTTACATAGCAGCATTATGTAGGTCAATAGTGCTAATATTCTATAAATATTTTTATTATCCAGAAAACGAAGGATTATTTTTTCAAAAGTCGGTACAATTAAGTTTTTTTGACGTCAGAAAATCGAATAAGCTTTCATTTTGATGTATGACATAGAGAGCGCCACGTACGTTATCTTGGTTTATAATATTTGACCCCCCCGTTATTTAACAAAAAATATATGTTCCGCTATAAAATCTGCAGGAAAAATAACACCCACCGCTTATGAATCACTCTGTAATATTTTAGAATGGATAAAAAAATAAAATTAATAAAAATGTAGATAGGATTTGAAAATAGAACATGAAAATCTAATCAAAATGGAATATTTAATAATATTAATATCACAAACATTCATTATATTTTATATTTATAATAAAATATCTATAATGCTACGATCAGTTACATAAATTACAAAAATACAGTTATGTTTTTTTTTTTATTTACAAATAAAATTCATTTTATATTGATTAAATCTGCGACATCTTACAAAAAAAGGAAATAAGCGGTAATTGCATAATCAATTCATTATAATGTATCTTACCACCTAATTTACACACTATTTTTAAATGTATGTGAAAGTTACATACAGGTAAATTTTAATGATTCATATTTAGGGTGGGATTGAAATTTCTTAATTCTTTATCATCTTTATGTTTGAGTTTTTTGAAAAAGTTACTTGAAAAAGACGTTTATGTTAACTTTTACACACAGTTGAAAAAAGTATAAACTTAGTATCCACCCTGTATATTTAATAATAACTAAAATTCAAAAATTTTGGACATACAAAAAAGTAATATACCGTGTGGTTAAACATGTAATAAAATTGAAAATTCGCTAAATTGTAGATGCCGCAGAAATTGTATACATACCGGGTGACACAGACTTAGTTTTGTTTTTACTTTCGAAACGCTTATATAAAATGAAATTTTAATTTTTATTTATTATTAATTTTTAAGTCATATGGAATCTAAACCTAAAATAATTATAAATCATGGCTTTCCTATTTGCTAACTAATATTATTTTAACGAATTAAGATTTATGACTATTGCTATTTTTGGTGATGGCCTAAGTGATGAGGAGGCAATCAAACCTTCCTCACAGATACAGAAACAACCAAAACAAAGGTTCATATAAATACAAGAGGATTTTTAAAATTAGTCAAACGATCTGTGTCACTCGGTATAATATATAACTAAATAGTAAAATAATTGTGTTCAAAATAAATATTTTACTATATTTAGTATATTAATAAAGTTGTAAATCACTCGTTTATTGACTTGATAAGAGGTTGTACCCGAGAATACCGATCAAGGAGAAGCGAAAATAAGTTGTGTATCACTCAAAATCATGTAATCTGTCAAAGTCAAAGTTTCTTTGTGTTGTAATAGAATGTCTGGATCTGGATATTTTTGTGCATATCGTTCTTGTTCGTCCAAAACCGGCCAAGGATTAAATTTATTTACTTTTCTAAAGGACTACGAACAGTAAATATCATGATTATTAATTAAATCACATTACAACATTTGCGCATGGACTATAACAATGATTTCAGATAATTTGCCAAACTATTTCGCTCAGTGTAGAAAATAAGCATCTTTTCTCAGCGTATTAAGTTGTGTATTAATCAAAGTCATGCTGTGAAAAAGGTCCGTTCGATATCAAAGACACCGACAGCTACTGTCGCTTCTCTTTGATCGGTATTCTCGGGTTGTACCGTAGACATTTAGAATCACTGGAAAAACTAATTCTATGAAGAAAGTATTTTATTATTTAAATAAAAATAAAATCTAACAATGCCTTCGCAAATCGAGTGATTTATATCTTTAAAGAATCTTACCAATTAATTTATATATTTCCTAATTTTTTTTTTTTTGGATCATTGTATTTAAAAGCTTACACCACCTATTTTTTAGTTTTCATTTGCAATAAATAATCTTTTATTATAATTAATTAATTTAATACTATAACATTTCAAAATAACAATATATTTACAATTATTTTACAAAACAAAAAATAAATTACACATCCTAGCGGCAAATATCAATATTTTTCCGATTAAACTTATTTTGCTTCTCTAAAAACGACATCATTAAAGCCAATAGTTTATTTTAATAATCAGAAAAAAATTTAAATGCCACCATTTATTACCTAGTTAATTTTTAAGCATTAGATAATTTTTTCTTCAACGTACAAAACGCTATTGATCTGAAAAGGATGAAAGTTCCGAAAAGATAAGCGATGTCTATCCAGTAATTCTCCTTGTTCATTCCCATATCTTCGAGTACTAATTTGGGCGAGAGATATTGACAGTACTCTGCATCTTCTGAGCAATAAAGCGGTTCTCTCTGATAGCCATATATCGCTTCCATCAGACCTACAAATAGTAATAATTGAGTTATACAATTTTCGATATAAGGTTTAAATACATTAAAAAAAAACAATCATAAAAAAGGAGTTAAGGCTGTTTTCGCGGTACACTATTTCAGCTCTTCCCTTATATCTTAATTATTTGTCATCGATATCATTTCATTTTTTGCCGAGGTATTCAAAAGTAAAATCTTATCAATCTGTAGTCGAATAACTTTTGTTTTGTTAAACTAATTGAGTTTTTTGAGCGTCGTACTCTCGATCGTACGTGAATATCAGTTGTTAAGAAGTAATGAGGTGACGTGCGCTGAGTGTTTTATATATTTCCCCCAATAAGCAACTAGAATACTCTCGATCGTACGCGAGCGCTTCAACCGCATCGGGTGGCGTCCCGAATGTTTATCTGTTTGTTTCTTTCTAACGACTATTTCTGATACAATCTGTGGCGTTCCACTGTGTACCCTTAATAATATTATTTATCGATTTTAGTCGTTATGAGTTGAAGAATCCAGTGGCGTTTCACTGCGTATGCTTAATACAATTACAAATAAACTCATTATTTAAATTTTATTAGCCTCTCGCGGGCCGGGGTTTATCCACATATGCTCTAGAACGTCAAACTTCAATTTTACTGTAAGATAAGATTACGTACCTTCCATTGAAAAGCTCAGAAATGATATGTATGTTAACAGATACATTATATTGGACATATGCGTAAATATAATCAAAAATCCTCCCACGCAAAGCATCAGAGCTAAGGCAACTGCGCCGAAGAATATTCCATTCTAAAATCAAAATAAAAAAGGTATAAAGGTAAAGTTATACAAATTTATTCAAATTAATTACTTACAGTCGGATCTGTGACGGTACCCAGAATTAATCCGAAGCCAGAAGATGACAGAGATGCCAATACGTGTATGAATAGAACCCTCAAAAATCGGATCCATTCCATGGGTTGGTCACTTATAAAGTATGAGGATATGCAATATACAAAACTAAATAAAATCTGAAAAATATTAAAATAAACGTTTTTTTATCAATACCGCAACAAAATTTTTATTTATTGGATGAAATACACAAAATCGGTTGGGTAACAAGTGCTAAAGTATTTATAGTTTATTTGAACAAGTACACAGAACGTTGAAATGTGGTACGCAAAGAAAATAAAAGAGAAATTGATCAGAATCAGAACTAGAAATATAGAAATAGAATTTATTTATCTTTGAGAATTATATACTATACAAATGTAAAATCCTATCAGACTAGTCAAAAAAGTGTTAAGTAAAATACATTAAAAAATAAAATATATATAATAGACAATTCATGTTAAGATTAGTTTAAAAGTTCAAAAAATCTTCTATACTATAAAATACATTATTTACAAGAAAATCATTAAAATCTTTTCTTAAATCATTACGACTAATTTGATGATAACCTGTAGTATCTTCTAATATCTGTATAATATGTAGAATTTAGTTCTTTCTTTAACCTGTTCATTTCACATAATAGATTATGTAACTTTAATATGAGGTGGAAACTGATTTTTTAATTTTTATGGTTTTATCGCTTTCTTTGTTTTCGTAAATACAATATTGTAGTGGTATAGAAATGATTCATAAAAGAAAATTTATCATTAAAATTAGTAAATGTGTATACTTCACGCCAATTTTCAACTGATAAAATATTTATAAAAGTTATTGCGTTAGGATCACTTAAATCTCGTTTATATCTGTATTTAAATTCGTTATTTTCAAAATTAGGTAGTTTAATCGAACATAATAAGTAGTTATGAACAGACAAAAAAGTATCATATACACCAGTGCTCCGCAACCGGTGTGCCGCGGCACACTGGTGTGCCGTAAGCCGACTTGAGGTGTGCCGCTCTTGCAGACAATACGAATCAGATTCGTATTGTAGCGAGACCCGCGAAAAATAAAGCAATCTGACAACAGCGCCGATGGTAAACGTCTATCCGTCTATCGGCGCGGCGCGGCGGCTTGATTCTCGAAGGCGACTAAACTAGAAAGATCCGTGCCGTTCGAGGCGCGACTCGATTTCCTGAACATCGCCACTGCCTATATAAGCGCGCCTGTCGTCGCTCAGAGACTCAGAGAGAGTCGAATAGTCAAGTGAATCAGATAAATACGCGGGCAAACAAATAAATCGTAGAGTGAAATAAATAGTGAATTGCTATATAAATAAATTCTTGTGCCTTATAAATAAGTGAACTGGACTAAGTTTTGTTGCAGTATCTACTTTTATAAATAACTATAGTGCTTCAAATATGGATAAATTTTTGCTGAAATCACGAGCAGATGACGAAGAACCTAGCACAAGCTCCAGCATAAGTGCTGCAAAAAGAGCAAAAAAGGTGCTGAAAAGGAAGTACAATCAAGACTACCTTCGATATGGTTTCACTTGGTGTGGCGACGAAGCGGCTCCAAAGCCTGAATGCGTCATTTGCGGTGAACAGTTGTCAAATGAAGCAATGGTACCCAGCAAACTAAACCGTCATTTGATCACAAATCATCCCAGTTGCGTCAAAAAAGACATTCAATTTTTCCAACGGCGCTTGGATCAAAATAAGAAACAAAAGCAGTTTATGAAATCGGCGGTTACGGTTTCTGAAAAGGCATTAGAAGCAAGCTACCTTGTTGCAAAATTAATTGCACAACAAAAAAAACCGCACACTATCGGTGAAACGCTTATTAAACCAGCATGCATGGAAATTGTTAGACTTATGCTTGGGCCAAACGAAGTTAAGGACGTGAGTAAAGTTTCTTTGTCGGCCGATACTGTTAAAAGACGTATCCAAGATATGTCAAGTGATATTTTGGGAACACTAATTAAAAAAATCATTTCGGCTGGAATTTTTGCGCTTCAAATCGACGAATCAACCGATATTAAAAATAAAGCACAACTGATGGCTATTGTACGTTTCGTTGACGAGGACTCTATTAAAGAACATTATTTATTTTGTAAGGAGGTTCCAGAGAGAACTACCGGTGAACAAATTTTCCAAGTAACTGATAATTTTTTTAAAATACATAATATTCAGTGGACCAATTGCGTTGCTATTTGTACAGATGGTGCTGCTGCAATGATGGGCAGTAAGAAAGGTTTTGTATCTTGTGTAAAACAAAAAAATCCGTCAATACAAATTACACATTGCTGCATACATCGAGAAGCATTGATGGTCAAAAATTTGCCCGAACAGCTTTCGATCACAATGAATGAATGTATTAAGATCATAAACATAATTAAATCGAGAGCCTTAAATTCGCGAATCTTTGGAATACTCTGTGAAGAAATGGGAAGCGAACATGAATCCTTACTGTTTTATACAGAAGTTCGTTGGTTATCCCGGGGAAAAGTTTTAGCTCGACTGTTTGAACTTCGCTACGAAGTGCGTGAGTTTCTTTCAAGTCAAGATATGTACGATCTATGCCAGCACCTTCATGATGAATACTGGATAGCCAAACTTGCATACATGGCGGATATATTCGAACATCTGAATGAACTTAATAAAAAAATGCAAGAACGGAATGAAAATATATTGACGTGCTCCGATAAATTACAAGGGTTCAAAAAGAAACTTGAACTTTGGCAGGAACAGTTGCAAAAAGGATGTCTAGAAATGTATCACAGGACCAACCACAGTACGATCGAAAACAAGCAGTTGATTGTGGATTTGGCCCAACAACATTTAAGTATGCTTCAACAAAAATTTGAATACTATTTCCATTCTATCAACACGGAACAATACAATTGGATTCGAAATCCTTTCGCAACCAATGCAATAAGTTCCACGGAAGCACTGCCATTGCAAACTCGAGAGGAGTTCACAGAATTAAGTAATGATATGACCCTAAAACTTAAATTCGACGAAGTTCCGTTAGATGTTTTCTGGATTTCCATCAAGACAGAATATCCACGCATCACCGACAAGGCCATCTTCACACTACTTCCGTTTTCCACAACATATTTATGTGAGCAAAGTTTTTCAACGCTTGTATTAATTAAAAATGATAAACGGTCATGCTTAAAAGATCTTGACCAAGAAATGAGAGTTACGCTGTCTAAAATTGAGCCGAATATAAAACTTTTGTGTTCAACGAAGCAAGCGCAGGTATCACATTAATCAGTCATCATCATGTCAAAATATTTATTACTATTGACGTGTCAACAGAAGTAAATTTTGTATACCTACCTGTCCTACCTAGTATTTAGTATAGTTCTCATGTATGTACCTATTTGTATTTTTCATTCTATCTGAATAATAAAAAAAAATTAAAAAAAAATATGTATTATGTCCTGAGTGAAAATTTTGATGTCCCAAATCTGAAAGGGGCTTCTTCACATTTTAAAACAATAAAAAAAACTAAGGTAGTTTGGACATCCATAAATAATTAGTATACATGGAGTGAACTGACCCCCGACCTAGCTACGCCACTGCTATAAATATATTTTAGATTTTGGTGTGCCACGAAATTCTAGGGAGCAGTTTGGTGTGCCTCAGATGAGGAAAGGTTGCGGAGCACTGATATACACCCACCTTATCTACATAAAAATTGGTAAAAAAATTATCTAAACAAGTTGAGGTTGTACTTGTTGTTCTCGTTACACATTTATATGATGTTTAATATTAAATTCCTTCAATAAGTCAATTAAAACAATTTTTTGATTACCTTCAATCAAAAAATCTACATTAATAGCACCACAGATAAAATAGTGATTGTAGTTTTAATAAATATTATGAATTAATAGCTCTAGTCAAGTCAAGGTAAGGTAGAAAAGCTGTCAATCAGTTAAGAAAAATAAATTATTAGCCTTCCACCAAATACAGTCAACTTTAGAACGCAACATTTTGGTCCTTCAAGCCGGATATGAACCAGCGACCTATCAAACCTTTTCTCATTTAAAATATATTAAGCTATGGTAACTGTACTAAATTTTAACTATGGCCTTAACTATAAACAGAATTTCCTTTGTAATTTTATAGCGTTTTATGACTATCACAGTTTAAAGCTCTATATACTTGTTCTAATATACTGTAGGTACGTTAATTTTTTTAAAAAATATATTTTACCTGCTGAGGTATGTCGAAAATTAAAAAAGCAGCATAGTATGTTCGAAGTTTATACCAGTTATTGAAGCTTTCTTTCTTTAATATCGTTAATTCTGAAGGAACTGAAAAAAAAACATTAAATTGATACAGGATTGAAAATATAAATAAATGAATGAATATTTTAAAACGTCATATACACAGAAGAGAAACATAAACATCGACAATAACTGGAAACATAATTTTAATAAAAATGTAATTACGTAAATAATAAATATTTATAAACTTTATATTGTCGAAACAAGTTGTACAAAACATTTCAATTTAAAATTATAATGTGAGTAATAAATTAAAATGAATTAAATATTTTGTAGTGGGTAAATAATCTCTACGCAACATGTTCTTTCATCAAAAAAAAAAAAAAAAAAAAAAAATATATATATATATAGAGAATTGTCTTTAAAAATTAAAGAGGGAAAACCAAATGTAAATATTATTCTTTTCTATTATCAAAGTTTATCGATTTACCTACGATGAGATTTTTAATACTTACATTTTAATACTGCTGGTAACATAGAAGTGTACGTTAGATAAACTAATCCACATAATAAAAATCCCAAATTATTAAAAACTTTGGTGGCGTCTCGGCCGCAGCTTTGGAAAGTTATTCCTAAAAATAGTCCCACTAACACATGAAGAACCAGCTTTAATTGGGATATTGTCTGAAAAAGAAACGAATGAGTATTTTTGTATTTTTTTTACACTCTTAGGCATCCTGCTGCTCCCCTCTGAGGGGTCCAGACAGGTACCTCCTACTTGGCTCAGTGTTTTTTGTTTAAACTTACCCAATCTCTATAAAGTTGTATAGCGCTTCTTTTTAATAACACCAAGAATCTACTCCATTCTGATGGCGTTTCCAAGGTATTATTACTTTGCTCTGCATATACTATATCGTCACTAATTATATCTCTAGTGTCGTTTATTCTAACTAAAAACAAAAACTGTTTAATGTGTGGTTCCCACAACAAGAACCAAAAATGAATGTCTTGTTATTGACATATATTTTATGATATGAGGGTAAAGATCCAGTCATTCAAGTACTATGTATTGATAACATACTCAGCAAAATGAGGAATAGTTTGTTAACTTAATAATTATTAATAAATCTTGTGAAATTCATTTTTTGTAACCTAATTGTTCATAACTACAGGATAGTGTGTTTCTGTCCGAGATTGGGTATCTAGAAATGTGTTTTAAAACATTTGAAATGGACCACGATTTTAAATTCTTAGTTGGGACAATCCGAAGAAATATAGTTTGATTTTTGCTATTGTTTTTGGTACCGGCTGGAGTATAAAAATGATGTAATATATATTTAAAAAATATTTACTCGTGGGTACATATTTCCATTTAGTTTCTTGGGCTGCTTGTTCCAAAACATCTATGTAATCTCCAAAATCTCCACTTGCAACTTCCATGACTAGAAAACAAATTATCAGTTTAAATGGAATGAGCTATAATACCTAGTTGAATCAATTTTAATTAAAATAATTATAATGAATTTTAATAATATAATTTATTACATTGAAAATTGTAAATAATGTCTATATGAGGCAATAAATAAAAAAATTTGAACCAAATTGACATAAAACTTTTGCATATGCAATTTTCAGCTAAAATAAAATAATATTTGTTAAGACATTCTATCATTTTATGAGGAATTCAGGATTATGACATCATTGAGTTAATTTTTATTTTAGCGCCTTCTAGTGGATAAAAAACTCCATTTAAAAGATAATTTTATTAGTAATTTAATGCACACTATAATAAAATATAATTGAATGAAACACAAACTTAAATAATTGGAAAACCTTGCCATTAAGTTAAGTTTAAATCAATTTAACTTTAATCGCAATCAATAAAAAAGCTCTCAAATGAAGTATCATACTTGTAGTTATACTTTAGCATATGTAACAGTTTCTTTTCCAATAATTAAGTGTTTAAAATTACGGGTCGAAAAAAAGAATTAGTTAATATGACATTTGTATTTTACTTACTAAAATCTGCGGGATTATGATACTGGGGACAATTAAGTCCCACAGAGGACAAAAATGGGACGGTGTTCGTGCTGGCTCCTTGATAAACGCATCTTCCTTTGGCCATCATGTAAATTTGATCAAACGTTTCGTATAATCTTGCATTAGGTTGATGTATGGTACAAATAATGATTCTTCCACCAAGGGCTAATCTTTTTAGCATTTCTACACAGTGAGTTGTGGATGCACTATCAAGGCCGCTAAAATGAAAAGAAATATATATTTAGGTATTTCTTGATTAAATTAATTCCCTACCCTAAAACAATTATTATTGGTGATTGGTCTTGAAAGTGACGTTAGTGAAGGATAGTTTAAGATTTGCCCCCCTCGCTTTTCATTTAGTTAATTCACTATTATTATTTTTGTATACATTATATAATTTAGTTGTTGACACATTGAAACTTTTTTGACTGACTTTTTCCTCTGTATTATTTGTATTTGTAATGTTGTCATAAGCTTTGGATTAAAAAAATATCCTACGCCTATGTATACTCATCATATAGTAGATTTCTTTAGAATTATTTCAGATTTATTTTATGACGTAAATGCGTAACCATAAATAATTGGATAATTGATCTGACTATAATTATTTTTCACTATAAATTATTTGTTATTAAAAAATGCATCTTAAAATTGATTTCTTGCTACATATTTTAGTTCCAATCAGTTACAAATGTTCCATTATTGATTAGGTAAACTTTTTGAATAGTCCGTAGGAAACTTTATCGTTTAGCTAGATAATTTAAATTTTGTTGCCAATTATCTATTCTTATTTTAATAATTCAGGACAATGTTTGAAGTGGCGTGACAACCAAATAAAAATGGAAGCGTGGATTAAAATTTATTGACAATATATTTTTACATTTTTGAAGTTACATCTATAATTCTTCTAAGGATGTCTACTTATTTCTTGCAATATAAGTTGAATTTCTAAAAAAAATTATATTGCAAATGAAAAACTAATCACCCACTGTTATAGCTTGCCATATTTTATAAAATTTTATTATTTTTCTAAAGTAACCTAATTCATTTATTTATCACAAGATAAAGGTAATTATTAAAAAATAATATAACAATTAGAACTAAATTATAGTGTTTAAACATTTTTATTTATATAGCGGCACGTACGCCAAAGTTTTATTCCAATTTTGAAATTATTAGGTGGGGAGATACCATTAAAAATTAAGTATCTAATAAGATAAAGCTTTTAGTAAAAATAGTATTTTTAAATTCAAATGTATTAATTATTTTTTAACTGTTACTATTAACTTTTTATAAACAACAATAAAATAAAAGAAGAAAATATTATTATTTTATTAATAATAAAACCATGTAAACTATTTAAAAGCTACTCAAAATTATTGATTATTATCCCCAGAATTTAAATCAGGATTATATCTTTGAGGGTGTACTTTATTATTGTTATTATTTTCAGTAAATATTTCAAAATTTAATAACTAAAATAACTAACAAGATACAAAACACTGCAAAAGTAGAGGTACCTTGTTAATGCAGATAGTTCGTTAAAGGGGATAATAGAATAGAATTCTACGAGAAAGAGGAGGAAACTGCAGTGCATGTATTATGTGACTGCGAAAGTCTAGAAACCATGAAATTATTTTTACTTGAAGAAAAACCAAGAGTCTCAATCACAAGCGAAACATAGCAATGTAAAAAAATACAAACGCAAGAAGTAGAAATAAGAATAAGATAAAATATTAAAAGAAAAGGAAAGACTTGTATTTCGTGCAAAACTGTTTAATTAATAAATGTAAAGCGCTTTCGGCTTTGTGCCATCATCAGTGCTTATCTACAATTTATAAATATGTGTAAAAATTAAATCTGAGTAAGACTTTTAAGTCAAAAGTTAAAAATACCTTATATATATAAAAAGTCTTACTCAGATTTTATTTTTACACATATTTATAAATTGTAAATTTACATCCACAATTTTTATAGATAAGCACTGATGATGGCACAATGCCGAAAGCGCTTTGCATTTATTAATTAAAAAGTTTTGCACGAAATACAAGTCTTTCCTTTTGAATCTAAACTATGTGCACACAGCTGTCAACCTTTTTTGGTTATTTTAATTAAAAGAAATGCTGAGAGCAGATACAACAAATGTAGATCTGCAAAAATATATAAAATGTGTACATTTTGTAAACAATAATTATTGATAATTATTTCTTTAAGCTGATTTTGTTACACTTTGGTCGTTATACAGCACTTTGGACTGACTTAACTTGTTCGAGATGATTTCGAAGTATATTAAATTTTCAATTTATTTTATTAGTACTTAATTAATAATTGTGAAAATTATGCAATTTTTATTACCGCTAATTTATATCATCAAGTTTTAAAAATCGTAATATCAATTTAATAATAAACGAGAGTTGGAATTTGAAATGTAAACTATATTTCAAAAAAAAAAAAAAAAAAAATACGCAACGTGTTTATCACGTGTGCCAGCTAGACTTGACGATAAAATATATAGAGAAATGGGAAAGATATTTTACCTAAACATTTATATAAACTAAAATGCTAACAGGTATAATTTTTGACAATGCCGTCTTTCAATAAAATATGAAAAAATATTAATCTGATATACTTACGTAGTAGGTTCATCTAAAAACATAATGGGAGGATTATCCACTAATTCCAACGCTACTGAGAGCCTTTTTTTCTGCCCACCAGACAAGCTTTGGACTCTCGTATTTTTAGATTTAGTTAAATTTAAATTATTCAAAATATCGTTGATCTGAAAATAAAATTTCGAATAAATTTCTTCATATCAAACAAACGTTTACAATCTTGTTAGAACTTTTTTTTAAATTTAACAAAACACGAAAAAAAATTAAAAATATATAACACATTAAAAACATATAATACAGTCATACAAAGCCCGGACCTTTTGTGGAATTATAACGTTTTTGAAGGTGTTTTGCTAATTTGAATATTTCTGGGAAAACATATTGGTGGTTTATTTACAATAAATATTTCTGGGGTAGGAAACAGTCGCAGATACTAGTGGAGCATCCCCAAATTGTAGTTCTGATTGCACTTGCTCAAAATAAAAAGTTGACATACAATTAAGTGATTTTTATCATTTTACTACCTTGCAAGTTATAACAAGTCATATTACTGTCCATATTTGGCAGATGGATGAGTAATCATTCAAAAAAATTAATTAAATTTTGATGAAACTCATCTCATTAAATTTGTATCATGCCTAAGTGTATTCCAGATTTATATATAGTATAGGTTTGTGGGGTAATTCCTTCATGGTTCTATATATGTAATGTTTTTGTGTACCGGGTATACATTTATGTAGAGGTATTTTTATCAAATTTAATGTTCTAATTATTTTATTTACCTAATAATTACTTTTACAACATTTGGGTTAACTGATCGGTATTTTATCTTACGGAAAATAGAGCAGGATGGACTGCTAAAAAATGGCTCGCACGACAGTTCGATTGAGGAAAAAAATGTTATTTACTAAATTTTATGAAATTTAGTGAATTGGATTTTTGTGCATTGACGTTGTTATAGAAAAACACATAATTTAAGGAGTTACTATAATAAAAAATTGTATCTGTTTTTACTTATACATTTTTTCTCGGAAAAATTAGAGGTAGAAAAGTTCAGATTCGCGTCCAGTACCCTAGAAGGTTATTTGTACTATGAGTGACTGTATGATTGAACTAATATCTTTATCTAATAAGGATTTTGTGTATTTTTTAAACATATCAACGTTTATCAAAAAGAAAGTGAGACATTTTTGAATTATTGCTCCTCTAAAATAACAAAAATTCTAAAAACTTACTAGGAATTCCTTTGATTTGCTAGATAAATTGGCAATTTTGAGATTGCAAGCCATCATCATACATTCTTGAACTGTGAAAAACTGTGGCAAGCTGTCATCCTGTAGGATATAGCAGGATTCTTTTCTATACTGCAAATTTCCTTTTTTTCTTTTTGTCGGACTGTTACATTTTATTATACCGGATGTTCCCGACTTTCTGTAAAAAAAAAGATTAATGTAAAAATAAACTCTTTTTTATAGATTAAGGTTATCTATCTCTATAATACAATAATATGAAATTCAAAAAACATGGGGGGCCATTAACAATTAAAGTAAATTGAAAATTAAGTTTTGTACAAAGGTTAAAATACTTGTTTTTGAATAATATTTGAAATAAAGGTTTGGCGATTATTTGGAATATAGAAAACATTCTTCCCAAATTACTATTAAGTATTTTTATTCATGTCTCTGCTTAACTGGATTATATATAAAAAAATAATTATTGTTTATTTCTAAAATTTCATGACATTTTAATTGAACATTTCCTACCTACTGAAATTTAATAGATTACGGTTTGGAACAAATTGTATTTTCTTTTTTTTTATACAAATATATTAGAATTAAACGATACATAAAAATTCTAGGGAGGGGGAAATGCTGCCTCTCCTCTTCCCCCTGAAATTAAAATTGTCACAATTTATGAACCTTTTATGCAAATATGCTAAAAGCACATTGAGCCTTATTTCCAAACAAAAATGCTAGTGATTTTTTGAGATTTAGTACAAGGGAATGTTTGGCAGATTTATCTGCCATATTTTCCAATTGTCATTTTTATTGCATTATTGAAATTATGAATTGGGAAAATATAAGTACAATTGAGTATCATCGGCATGCATATATGTAAGGCAATTACGAATAAACTTAGTGAATTAGATAGTAGTTATGTAACGTAAATAGTAGAGGCCATAGAACTGATCCTTGGGGCATTCCAGAGGAAACATTTTGGGGTAATCTTGTCAAAAGCATTACTAAAATCTAACAGCACCACAATAGTATAATCGTCATCATCTATAGCCTAAAATATATTATTTTGTATCAGATGTTCACCAAATTGTTCAAAATTATTTTATAAATTAATTTTAACACAGAAAGTTCTTTAGGATTAATAATATTCACAAATTATTAGGTAGGTAGTTTGAATCATTTCTTCAGAAATAATTATTTTGTAATTGATATAATTTATAAAATTGTTAATAATTATTTAATTCATTTTTTTTGTTTGAAGAACTCGCGATTTATCTTTGTTTTTCCCGTTGAAATTTACGTGTCCAATAATAAATGTTGACTTTTACAGGTTAATTTAGTGTGAAATAATAATAAATGATAATTATTTACAGGTGTGCTTGATTGAAAAATTACCTCTATTAAAAAAAAATCAGTAGGTACTTAATTTGGTATATGAAATAAAAATATTTAAATAGGTCGTAAATTTTAATGACGCAGGCATTCATCAACCCGTTTTTAATTGATAAATTTATTTGGAACTAATAAAGCACTTGTATTGAAATACATAAATCACAATCAGTTTTAATTTTAATTCTTCGTAGTTCATCATCTATTAATTATTGTTAATTATTAATGTAGTTAAGTCGCTTACTGTCAATATTTTAAACAAAATTATTTATGACAATAATATTGCAATTATTTTATGTTTATTACGAATTTTAAAAATTTGCCAGAAGTTTTCAAAATGTTGTTATACTAATAAAAATAATTATTCGCTTGAAATTTTAAATAAAAATCAAAGTAAAGATTTAAATTTTCTATTTCTATTTTTTTATGCTGTTAAATTTTTTAATACATTTTTTTATGTCACAAAACTTGGATATATTATTAATTTTAATATTAGTCCATTTAATAATTTTAAATTAATTTATCAGACACGGTGTAGGGAAGGTCATACTTGTATTTTTTTTACTTTTTATCAAAATTTATTATATTTCCACACAACGATAACAGCGCCAAAAAACAGTTATAAAGCCTACACAGAATTCTACGTTAATGTCTTGAGTTGTCGATACCGCAGAAACATTAAATAAAAAAAAAATGTTGTATCTGTTCAAGTAAAAAAAAAAAAAAAAATGCGAAGACTTGTATATTAAAATATCTTTAGAACTGTGATTATGATGCAATATGTATTTGTTTACATTACTCATACAAAGAACAATAATTTTAATATTGTGTAAGATCAGGGCAAATACATTTTGTTTATAGTTATTACATAAATATAATTGACAATGCTGCCTGCTATAAAAGAATACAAAGAAACAGAAGTGTAATAAATCATTATTTATTTAAAAATTAGTAAACACTAAATATAGCTCTTACTTAAAAAAATATTATTAGAAAGTATGAAGTTGTATATATAAATAGACTGATGGTTAAAAATAGAAAAGATCATTCAAACTTAAATGTTATAAGTATAATAAAAAATATATTAAAATTATAAAAAATTATGTATATTGTTAGTAATTTCAGCCTTGAAGGTTTTTCATCAAATAGAACAAAATAACTGTTTCTACTGCTATAAAATCTGCACTTTCTCAACTCTCCTTTTCATTTCATTTTCTAACCTGGTAACATAATGATTTCATTACCTAAGTGGACTCTTCTAAATATAGAATCAGCCAACCTACCAGAATTATTTAAGATAAAATATGAAAAAGCATAAAAATGTGTTGGCTAGCAAATGCAATGGCAGTTTTTAATAATAATATTATTTCAAATTAAAGCTGCAGAAAAATTCAGAAAATATCATCGGAGGCCATTTCTCCATAAAACAGCTGCCAGGTCATTAATAACGTTGGGGATGAGCTCTGTGTGAATTTTCGCTATCATGATTTAACCAATTTCTATGTAAACCACAATCATTTTTCAGTGAAATGCACTTTTATATTGAATAACTTTATTTACCTCATTTTTGCCTAACAGTTATTTGTTTTGTATCCGTATCCAATATTCATTATCTGTTTTGTATGTAGCTTTTTTTGTAGATCATATCTATGTACGAACTTTGATCAATGACGTGGTGGGAACGGTCCATCATTATCAGTAATGTTTTTGAACTTTTTGAAATTTTCCTTTATTAAATTTTCTATAGAAATAGGTATAGTTTTCAGCGTTTTCAATGTCTTTGTTCTTTTTTTTACTTCAGTTTTAAATTTAGTAGCTGCATCTTTTTTATTGTTAAATTGTTGAAAGTTTTTCATTATGTTTCAATTGACAAGAATCAGACATTTTATTTTAAATGTTTTTGTCTGCTTTTTGAATCAGTGCACGTCCAAGTCTTAGATGACACGATACCAAGAATTTACATTTTTTTCTGATATTTATTACTTTTGTAAAACGTGCTTTTATTAGTGTCTGTAGTAGTAGTAAGTTAACAAAAAAATACATAAATAATATACTTACTGATATCCGGTGAGAACGTTAAGTAAAGATGTTTTTCCGGCCCCAGATGGACCCATAATTGCTGATAGCTGACCGGAATAAAATTTTCCAGACACTCCATCAATAATTTTTTTTAATCCTGTAACAACAAAAATATATTTTAGAATATTAAAATAAACAAAACAAGATCTATTGTACCCCCTTTTGTGGATTATGCAGGGAGAGGAATGGAGCAGGTTGCCATGCCCTTGCTCGGAAATTAAAATTTTTAAAATTAATGAGCTTTTTATTAAAAAAAAATTGCTAAAAAGAATCATTGGCAATGCCTCCCCCCCGAAAATATAATATCTTGTAATAATCTTATTTTCTGTTTATCTTATGTCATATAGATAATTTATTCACCTGTTCTATAATTGCCAATTTATAAACATTTAAAATAATAAATCACATAAAACTATCAATCATTATAAATAATTCGAACTATTTATGACAACTAAAAATATATATGATTGATCTTGACTAAGATTAAAGTGATTAAAAAAGAGTAATTATCCCCCTCCCGAGCTGCTCGAAAAAATACTGAAATTTATTAAATATAACCTTTTTAGAAGAAAGTAAAAATAAGATGGCGGCGATGAATAAAATTATTTCCCCCTTTGAATTCTTCCCCCAGATCCGTGCCTGTTTGTAGCTATAGAAATTTTTAAATTATTTAAATTTTAGATAGTTCGAAAGTCCAACCGATTTAGTTACCAACAATTAAACAAATATTCCTCTTCAGTATATTGTTTCTTATAATTAATTCCACTTATTCTAAAATTAAGAAACATTATTTAGGCAAACTCAGTCATTCCAAGGTTTTTCTGTAAATAAATAGTGGTAAACAGGTGTGGAATGATATTATTGGGCGTCTAAAACAAATTTCTTTATCCAAATTTTCTTGTATTATTATTATGATCCACCAACCGGGATAACTACAGTTCTAGCTTTTCATAAATGAACTTTAAAACGATGTTTGTAATTGTTCTTGTAGTTTTTATAATTGCTATTCTCTATAATTACCTATTTAGTTAATTAATAAAAGACATGATAAAATGCCTTCCAAAAATTTTTACCTCTTGTGCCGTCCCTGTATTCAATGTGTTTGGTAATTACTATATTACTAATTACAAACCAGAATTGCCTAAATATACCTATATATAGCGTGATGACAACTAGCAATAGTTATGTTATTACTATTTCAAAAATAAATTGTCTGTGGCTATGAAATAATATAAAAAATATAATGTTAACACGCTATATGGTACTTCTATTTATATTTTATATAATATAGGTAATTACGTAGAAAAAAAATCGTTTAAAAATCGTGGAACGATCTAGAGTTAAGTACTTTATATTTTTTACAGTAACTAGTGTTTGGTACAGATACAGAAGACAAATAAAGTGATATAATTTTCTTTAATTTGCATTATCACTTTAATAAGAAAATATTTTCGTTCTTTTCTAAATAAACTATGAATATGCAGTGAACATTAATACATGAATACTAATATAGAAGAATATTGAATGTATTAATAATCAATACTTTTTTAAATCTGCAAATTGGCGCCAAAGTAATTTATATAAAACACATTGTATCTTGCTTTTAAACATCGTTTAAAATAAGTAAAATTTTATATTAGGACGCCACTGGACTGCTTTTAATCCAATCAGGATTAAATTATCTTCTTGATACTACAAACAAACCTATCAACTTTAATTAAAATAGTCAAAAGAATGATTGAGATGTTAATCAAAACCCGATTTTTGTTAAACGTTTAACATCTTGTATCAAAGCAATTTAGAGCACATGTTTACATGAAATTATCTTCTTCAATATAGACATGACAATAAAGAACACCCTGTATATTGTTCATCATCGAGTCGTCAAAATGAATAATTTTTATTTTTTTTCCACTTTGAATAATGTTTTTTACATCTATTAATATAATTAATTGTAGAAATTGAAAGGATTTTTCCTATCAGATATTTAATATTTAACCAACATTAAAATAATAAACACATATAACTACGACACTGACTCTCCCTATTTTCTATATGTTCTTGTCGATACTCTTTGAATGCAATTGCTACTGCGATAGTCCAGTTTGTCTATATCGGTTTAGGTGTCTTACGATTTCTTTTTTTGGATTGTATTGAAACATAATATAGTAATTTTCTTGGAGTAACTTCAAACGGAAGCAGATTTCTTTTTGTAATATTTGCGGTATCTATAGTTGACTCATTGACAATGTAATCAAACAATGAAAACCTCTAATTAAATTCAAATTGTTATTAATAGCCAGTTATCTTTTAGTAGCGTGTTCAATATATTTTTGTAACATGTAAGTAGCATTAAAAACAACAAAATGTGGAAAATTTTCATCGAATCAAGTTTTTTTTTTAATAACACAATTAGGTACAAACTGATATGTATGTTATTTTATTGGTCTGTGTGTTATGTTTGTGTAGATAATGTAGGAAAGGGGTTGGCCTTACCTCAGACTTGTTTATTTGCAGTAAATTTTCTGAGTTATTATTGTAATTCGAATGGTATTTAAACTTTAAAAATCTGACATAAATTAGTACCTATATAGATTTAATAATCTGAATAATAACGAAGATCAACTATCATTTCTAAATACGATGTTCCAAAATTTTTAAATACTCTATACAGTGTACATGTATGGGGATCTTGAAAACTATAGAATATAGAGAAACGGTTAAATGTGAAAATTTTTATACGAATATATTTGTAACTTAAAGCTGTTTAGTACATCATTTTCTTTTACTTACCAATATGTGAAGCTGACATCAATAGCTACCTTCTAAGTATAAAATATCATATAGCGTCTATAAGAAATAATTAACCTGATGATGGTATAAAATAACTGAAACATTGTGTTCAAAATCAAATTGCAGAAATGAAATATACTGTCACGCAGCACCCTGCAGTCGTCATAAGTGAAGGTACGAGTAAAAGAAGAAGGGGTAATATTCGAAATATGTCATTCTCCGTCAAGAAAAATCTCGACAGTTCGAGAAGGTGAAAGCAAGCTATATAAACCGGTGATCCTCACGTCAGGGGGAGGCAGGAATACTAATCGGAGATTTAAACGCTAAATCCACAATTTGGAATAGTAGACTTCGCAACACTAGAGGTAGAGTGTTGGAACCTACTCACTACCCTGATAACGGGGAGTTACCAGACGTAATCGACATTGCCGTGCTAAGAGAATGCGAATTCCAACAGGAAATGTACTCTCTGCATGAAGGAGCAGGTGGACATAACCCGATCCTACTCATACTAGGCGACGAAGATGGCATCAACGCGCCCAGAACAGTGTCAAAAACAGATTGGACAAAATTCAAACGAATTTTGGCAGGCAATCTAGGACCAATCCCAAGGATTGAGTCCTGCGAGGAAGTAGATGGAACATTCGAGCATCTAGAAACAGTCACGCAACAGGCATTGGCTGACAAATAGAGGTAGCGATACCTAGTCGATTTAGAGACATCAGTCAGGAACTGAAAGATCTAATAGTGCTCAAAAGACGCGCTCATAAGAGAGCACATAGGACAAGGTTGGTTGTAGACAAACGAGAGGCAAAGAGACTTAAAGAACGGGTAAAACTGGAACTACTACTACACAGAGACGAACAGTGGAAAAACTTCCTAGACGAACTTGACCCCCAAAAATCACCTTTTTGGAAACTCCAAAAAGTACTTAGGACAGGCAGACCAAACATACCATCACTACACGGACTTTCACACACAGACATTGACAAAACAAAAGCGTTCATATCAGCGCTTGAACAGGAGTGTACAGAAAATCAACACGAAGACCAAGATATGGAACTTTCGGAGGAAGTAGAGGAATCTATGGAATCTGAAGACGAAGTATTGGACAACATCACTGTAACTTCACCACAGGAGGTCAAGGACTTACTCAAGTTAGTCTCAGGCAAAAAGCGCCAGGGTGTGACGGGATTTCAAACCATGCACCCTAAAGACCCTTAATTCCCACAGTTATAGACCAATTAGCTTATTACTTGCAATGAGCAAAATAGCGGAACGAGTAATTTTAAAAAGACTCAAAGAAGAAACCGAAATGTTAAATGTCATACCCGACGAACAATTCGGCTTCAGAGAAAGACACTCCAAGGAATTACAGGTGCTAAGGTTAGTAGAGGGAATCACGCAGGGATTCAATACTAACAGGTCAACTGGAGTTGTCTTTCTAGACGTCAGCAAGGCTTTTGACAGAGTTTGGTATGCAGGACTAATTTACAAACTTATTCGGGTCGGTAGTGTAGCGGTCTAACGTGCTTATATTCATTTATAGGCAAGTTTATGAGTCTTCGAATCCCAGACCAGACCATGTGGATTTTTAATTAAATTGCATGGTTCGGTTTAGGATTTGATGTGTGCCGTATTAATAGAAAATCAATTTCTGTTGATATGACATGCAGATTAAAAAAAAAATCGCCATGCATTACCGTCTCGATGATGGTGGGTGAGGTTTTCCGGGTTTTCCTCACCTGTAAGTCAAATGGCACCATCAATCATCTTTAAGTCGCCCCGGAGCGCCACGGCAAATAATAATAATAGCCGTCCCTTCCCCTACACAAGTCGTTCAGTCGACTTCAGGGGTTGAAATTCACTCGTAAGGGGGTGAATTAGGGAGAGTATTATTATTATTATTATTAAAGACTACGGGTAAACATGAGCAATGACAAAGCTCCTCTCAAGTCGTACTTATGTGGAACGCAGTTTCGTGTCAAGATAGGTTCCGCCCTGTCTAGATACGCAACTCCGGAAGCAGGAGTACCACAGGGAGCAGTTCTGACACCGCTCCTGTATACAATCTACACAGCAGACATATCACATACAAACAACACCACGACATCAATGTACGCCGACGACATAGCGATCGCTGCCAGGAGTACCAACACAGGTATGATATGCCGATACCTGCAAGAAGCAGTTACAAAAGTCGAGGACTGGAGCATCAAGTGGAAAGTGAAGATTAATCCTGACGAAAATCAGGCAGTACTCTTCAAAAAACGACGACACACCCCAACTGGGAAAATACAAATG